AGGTGGCCAGTGAATTGGCCAGTGGGGTGGCCAGTGAGGTGGCCAGTGAGGTGGCTAGGGCATTGCACAGTTTGACCGTGGCCACACCCTGGTGGCGACAGGTTTTCATACTCTCTAAACATTTTGTTATGATGTCATGCCATTGTCCGAGACTCTTGATGCCCTTCTACCAAACCATTAGGAAGCTAATAGATAATATGAATGAATTCTCAATAACAAACCTCTGTATTAATATGCTGACGTTCAGCAGATGTGTTTTCTGTCACTGGTTCTGTAGGTAGAACCGCTCCTTCCACTGCCCGGACTCTAACTATGTCTTTTTCCTGCAGGGTTTAACCTGGAAGATGCTCTGTTCGATGGTGAGAGATTCACTCCAGCTGATAACAGCATTTGTCTGAATTAAATCTCAAGCACAGAGTCCTCTCACTCCTTCTCTTTGGTTTAGATCCCACCCCGGCACCCCCCAAAAAGCAGCCGGTAACACCGAAGAGGCCTGGAAGTGATGGTTTGTATCAAAACACACACCTTCATCTGGTTTTCCTGATCATGGCCCATTTTGGGGAAGTTCCTTTTTTCCTGGAGGAACTATGAGGTGCTGCCAATGATGCAGCTTGGTCACAGGAACCAGTAACTCAGCAGTTCTGCCTGGGATCTGCACTGGGAGGACAGGGTTTGCTTAGAGGCTTTCCTTTAGAGTCCAAATCAGAGAGGTTTAAGCCCTCCTTGATGGTGTCAGCCGCTGGTATGGATGATGCTGGGTATGAACCTGAAGTCTTCTGAGGGTAGATCTCCTCCGGCTGCAGGAGCTACAGAGTAGAAACAACTGAGAAGCACTGGGGGGAAGTGAGACATCTAGAAACCACAAAACAAACCAGCCTCACTCCTCTGCACAGCGTGGCACAGATGTTGTCACGCAATGGTTTCCATGCCTCCCTTTTCATAAATGAAACAGTTTCCTGTAGCTGCAGAGCGTGGAGAGCTTGCTGTCTGATGATCTCTGATAGAAAGCAAAACCACTGGGGAAACGCTGAAATGCTCTCACCACTGGTTAGCGAATATTCTCCCTTAAGACATGAATATCAAGAATCAAGAATAATCTCCTCACTGGAAACGGGGACCTTGGAAATAACTAACAAAGCCGACAGACAGGACTCTAACAGAAGGCAAGCAATCAATGATCTGGCCCAGATAGCTGGAACTGAGCCCAATATAAAGGAGAACGAGCAGGTGGATGAGATGAGTGACAATTAGGAGGTGGACAGAGTTAAGCAGGTGAAAGGTATGAATAATTACGGTGAGCTATCAGGGCAGATCATGACAGGCAGAGCTGAGACACAAACAGCTATGTTGGCAGGTATCAAATAATCAACTATGCCCCTATCTCCAAAACAAACGTCCACCACTAGAGCTTGGTTCTCCAACTTTATCCCTATTTAAGCCTCTTAATAACAAGCGCTGGTGAAGATTCTCAGTCATCCAGGTCATAGTCATTCCAAAAAAGTAAAAAAACAAAAAACAACAGGACTTTGTTTCTAAGCTTAAAAACTTTTTTGGACAAAGAAGACAGGTGGTTTGAGAGGGGTATGAAGGAAGCCATTTTTGTTAAGAAAGAAAAAACAACATTAAACAAAGAGGGGTGGACTCAGATTTCAGGTTTCTGGTATTACAGCATAACAAAGAAACCAAACAACCCATATTCCAAAGGGGTGGACCCTTTCGTCAGGTTCGATTTGCCTGTTTCTAAACCAAAACCAGGCTTCGTTTGGTCCACTCTTTAAAGCCCCAAACTCAACGCCACTTCTCATATTTTGATTTGAAAAAGCATCCTGGATGGGAAGCAAAATGTCTTCAAACTTAATAACCAGCATTATAATAACTCAAGCAGCAGCCATCAGGATGAACATGTATGCAGCACGGGGTCCCTTAGCCACTGCCTGTCCCGTTTCCAGGACAGGCAGTCGGGTGATGCTAAGGTCCATGGTCCCCCTCACCCTCCTGCAGTTTTTATTTCTAAAATCCCTGGCGGCTCCATGTCTCCACCCAGGGGCTGTTCTGGTTTCGTACCTTATCCTTACAGCTGATTATCACCTTTGAACCAATCTGAATGACCTGGTCGAATGGTGTGGAGTTAGGAAGCCGAGACAGAGGCATTTCTTGCAAGAAAAAAGCTTCAAATTTATTTAAAGTCCTCAGAGGGAGAGATAGGGCTCTTACTGAGGCAACCCACCCCCTGCATAAAGAACTTTCTCACACTTGAACATTTGCAGGAAAAACAACTCGAGTTCATCAAGGCCGTTCACTGTTCGGTTAATATATATCTTCAACAAGTTCTGGCGACACTTGTAGGATGGAGTCATATTCCTCTGCTCCAAACTGGGAGCTATAGTTGACCTGTGGGTAGTTAGCTGATCCGGTGTTTTCTGCTGCAGGTGGCTTTGGACTAGATTTGGGGGACGCTTTGGGACCAGGTAGGACGGAACTCACAACCAGTTCATCATCTTCACTTCATCCTCAGCTTTACCGCATACTCCCATTATAACATTTGTTTTGTTTCTGCAGATCCAACACCTAAAAAACCCCAAAAGCCAAGTTCTGGCGACACTGGTAGGACGGAGTCATATTCCTCTGCTCCAAACTGGGAGCTATAGTTGACCTGTGGGTAGTTAGCTGATCAGGTGTTTTCTGCTGCAGGTGGCTTTGGACTAGATTTGGAGGACGCTTTGGGACCAGGTAGGACGGAACTCACAACCAGTTCATCATCTTCACTTCATCCTCAGCTTTACTGCATCAATGATACTCCCATTGTAACATTTGTTTTGTTTCTGCAGATCCAACACCTAAAAAACCCCGAAAGCCAAGTTCTGGAGACACTGGTAGGTCGGAGTCCTTTCCTCCGGTCGAGACTGGGAGACATTTTGACCTGTGGATAGCTAGCTGACCATGTGTGCTTTCTACTGCAGGTGGCTTTGATTTGGAGGATGCTTTGGGACCAGGTAGGACGGAAACCACCCAGAAGATAAAAGTATTAATTCCTGCATGTCATCCTGGTTGAAGGTGTTGAGAGTAACCATGTTGGTGGTTCTGTTTGAAACATAGCTTTGGTTGAAGGAGAGCCATTTTTGTCAAACAGATTAAGTCCACGATTGGTTCCCTTCAGGTTTTCCTTTGGATGCGGAGTAGACATCATTGTTTGTCTTGGAGATTACAAGTCTGAATAAAAGTTGCACTTTTGCTAAAAGTGCTAAACTGACGAGTATGAATCTAGCACCTCTGATGAAGCTGTTACACTCCTTACCAGTAGGTGGCAGTAATGCAGCCGAATATTGTTCACCAACTGCCATTGAAACGAGGGGAACTGGAGAACTCTATTCAGGGTAGGAAAGGACGTCCGAACTGCGGGGCCAAGTCCATTGACCCTTTACCGTACAGTTCTCATTAGAGGGCGGGCACATGTGTTAATGGCCCGTGGTCAAATTGAGACTACAGCCTTTGAGAAAAGAACTACAAAAAAATCCCCAATATAGAGAACATCTTAAGATCTTGGTTGCAAAATATGAATCCAAAGATATGAAGTTATGAGCAACAAATGGTGGATTGTTGTTGACCTCCTGTCAAGCAAAGCATTGCAGGTGACCCTGTAGCTCTGGACATGAGTGGTCCCTATCCTAACCATAGTGGGGTCTGCTCACTACCTATCAGCACTCATCACGGCATTGACCTGTTGATGCTTCTACCGCCGTCACTCAGGTGTCTTTGCTGAGGCATTTGGAGCCTTTTCCATCCTCTTCTTGCCCTTTAATGGAGGTTGGTGAACAGCGTTCAGGTGCGCTACCGCCATTATCTGGTAAGATATGTTAGCACTCTATCAGTCGTGTATGGTCTTAATTTGTGTTTGTACTTCTGGAAAGTTGCATCTCTCATGTTTATAATTTCAAAACTCACCAATGAAAACCTGATGTCATGTGTTTTAATGACATAACTTATTAACTTACGGTTACAATTTCACAAACCTATACAAACATTGCTACTGTCATTCATCTTGGGCTGTACACAGAGACACCAGTGAGTTAGCGATCTAGATACTGGCCCAGTTCTGTCTACTGTTTGGGCTTGTGAAGATGTCTGACCATGGCAGAGAACCGGTATGGGCTCATCTTTTTGATGACCTGGTTTTGGTGTGCAGAAGTTCTGGTCCAAACAAAGCTCTACATAGAAACAGGTCCTCCACTTTCTCTACTTTCTACCACATCCCAAACATCTAAAGATTCCTCTGTTTGTAAACTGCATTAAACCTGTCTCCCAGTCTCACTGGTTCTGTTGGTCTGTCTTAAACTGGATCAGACTCAGTTAGGTTCTAGTTCTATTAAGGTTGGTCAAACTGTTTTAAAACTCTCTAGGCTGATTTAATTAGCTTTTATTCAGTAGGAGGGCATATATCTGCTCGCCAGAGTCTTGAGTAGTCCAGAAATAGTTGCGGACAATAGTTGTCCCAATGTAGTCCAATGAAAGACATTGAAACGTTTTCAACGTCTTTCCAACAATCTGAAAATTACAGCTTTTTACCTTTCACTTTCCAAGCAAACGTAGACGTTTCTTGGACGTAAATCATTTTGAATCAATTCTTGCTCAGTGGGATTCATGAATGGATAAAAAGCTTTCTCTGATACTGATGAAGGGTCTGGTCCTGTGTTTGCAGATCCCGCTCCAGAACCGAAGAAACCTGCAGATAAACCTAGGAGCGGAGGTGAGTGAGCAGATGGTCTGGTTGTCGACCTTCTAGCAGACATTTTTGCTCAAATCCAACAAAGCAAAGACCAAAGCACCACTCAGGAAGAAGCATGCTGATGTGGGAGGCCCAACCAGAGGCTGTGATGGACACTGAAGTTCTCTGTGTCACTGATGTCTTCCAGGAGGAGGAACCTTCAGTGACAACGACCTGTTTGACGTCAGCAATGGAGACTACAAGCCCGACGAAGGACGCTCTGGAGGTGAGACCCCTTTCTGACTCAGATCTGAGTGTTGCTGCACAGCGGTTTGAGCATATCTGCAGTCGAAGGACCAGTAGCTGCTGGTTCTGGTCATCAGTAGCTAGTCCTGTGGCCCTCCTGGTGGTTCCCTGTTAAGGGCTGGTTATCCTTTAGTAGCAGTCTGTGGTTTGTCGCAGGTATAACGCAGATATGTTTGATCTATGCCCAATATTGAAGCGTGGTCTGCGCTATGTTAATCCACGCCCCAACACATGACGGGGCTAGCCCACCCTGTTGTGTTGGTTTGACGAGCTTGTTCGCCATCTGCGTGTTGCACACCAACAGACTAAAAACTAGCATCCTGCACAATGTCTGGGATAGTGTCCGCTGTGTGGCAGGCATTGTGGACGACTCTACGGCCAGAGTTTCTGCCAGGTACCAAACAGGAAATATGCATAGTTAGAGCGGATGTAGAATTGACCAATCAGAGGCCTCCTGTCTGCAGCACTGTCTGCGGTCAACTACAATTTTGGGGAGGTGAAACAGAGTGTCTGCTGAAGGGGGGGGGGGACATATCTGCGTTAACAGCGACACACACGTTTCTGAACATAAACCAGGCTTTACTGGGAACCACCTGGTCCAGTTCTGGCCTTCTGTCCATTCCTGTAGCTTGTTGTTAACATGGACTAAACTTCCCCTCCTCTGGTTTTCCCAACTTGGAGGACTTGGTTGTTTTTCCACCAAGGAAACAGCGGAGAGGGGGGGGGATGGACTACAGAACTTTTATGGAAATGAAAACCAGATGTCTGTTTGGCTTTTTATCCTGTGTTGGAAATTTTTTAAAGTAGTTCCATTCCTACTTGAACAGACCAACCAGAGGTAAATAAGAATCTAAAATGACCCTAAATAAACATAGGGTCGGCTTATCGGACTGCTGTGCCACAAATAATCATGCTGGGGGTCAGAGCTTGCTGTAAAGTAAATATCTACTCTCTCTACCTGCTCACCCAGGAGGAGAGAGTCCTGTAAAGTATTACCACACCCACTGAGTCCATGTTAGGGGAGGATCCACGGTTTCCTTTTGATTTCATAGCTTCATTCATTGGAATAAGTTTGGGTCGGACGGAAGCAGGAGGAATTCCCCCTGAGGAAAACCCAGATTGGTAATTTGACACTCCGGCAGCAGAGCTCAGCGTTTTCACCCTACATTCCAGTTCTCCCAGAGTCCCCTCCCCCGCCAGACTGCAGCACAGCCTCTGGGCTCCTTCTGTCCCAGACAAGCAGTGGGAGGGGCTTTTTTCCTTTCTTAGCAAACTTAGATTTCCTAAAAGAAGATGTGAAACAGCTCTGCTCACAGTTTATTTGTTGCTCCTCCAAGTCTGCATCATTTGGAAGCTAAAACTCTCTAACCTGACTTCTTCTTCTTCTGCATGCAGGCCGTGCAAAGGACACCAGCTATGATAATCAAGGTAAGTTCCCGTGCCTTTGATAAGTTGACCCTTGACCCTGTCTACATAAAGTTCCATTTCTACATATCAAATTGCTCTAAAGAAAGGCGTTTAATACAAGTTTCAGCCTTAGGACTACATGCTAGCTTTCAGCTAGAACTACAGGGATACAAAAGTGCTTGTAAATTGATGCCCTTCAAACGCTCAGCATTAGAAGTGAACCATGCTGTGCAGAAGTGCCTTTAAAAGCATGATCTTATTCTAATGCCTGGTCTCATTGTTTCCCAAAAGGTCTGGGCTAACAGGACTGCCACTTTCATGGCTTTTATGTTGAACCAATCTTATCTAACATGAATCACTGAAGCAATTTATGGGTTAAGCGAAGCTGACTGACCTCTTTTCTGCTGTTTTTACAGGTGGAAATGATCAAGCTCAAGGTAAATCATCTCTTCTATGATATGTTCCTTTAAACTACCCATTAGAGTAGGAAGCAGTGGCTGCAAAGAGAAAGTCATTGTTCAATGGTGATCCTCTTATATAGGATGTCTAATCCTGAGACAGTGAGTTAAACTGGAGCTAAGACTGGCTTGACCAGCAGACTTAGAACAGGACAGAGAGCATCAAAATCTGGGGACCTGCAGGTCTGCATGGAGCTGAGGGAGGGAATCTGGGAGTCCAAGACTCGTCCTTCTGCACAAACACCAGGAGCAGGCGACACAGAGTCAGTTCAAGTGACCCCAGCAATACAAGCGGGACCCTCCCAGACACTCTGTCCCTCAACCATTATGGCTGACCCACTACCTAGTGGGAGCCACCCTGCAGCACAGAGACACCAGGAAGGCTGCTGGTCCTGGATGGCCCCAGAGAAAGGATCCTCGGTAACCTCTAAACTCAGCTGACATTCCAGCCAACAGCCATCTTTCCTTTAATTTTTTACCTCTCCGTTGTTCCTCCATGCCTAAAGACATCTTAAATAACTGTAGAGGTAGCAGTCGTACCCACTCTCCCTCCATCCCTGACAACCTGGAGAAGGTCAACACCTACAGCAAGAGTCTTTCTTTGGACTTCAGCTCTACGTTTATCTTGTTATCTCCTATAATAGAGACCACCTGGATGGTCCAGTTAACATCAGCCCCCATCCTGGACATGGGTGCACCTCAGGGATGTGTTCTCCGTACGTACCTTTCATTTTTGAAAGGTGCATTTTTGAAATTTACTCAGAGCTAATACCCCTCTCAGACCTCCAACACCATGGTCAGGTTCATTGATGACTCTATGGGTGTTCTGATCTCTGGTGGTGAACAGTTGGCCTGCAGACAGGAGATCCAGTACCTCACACTATGGAGTCAGAAACCAGAAACCTCAGTGAGAGAGGAGCTTATTCTGGACTTCAGGAAACCTAGGTGCATCCAGCCCTAGAAACCCAGAGAGGTTTAGAGAGTCCAGAACTGGAGGGTTCCTAAGTGTCTCCATGTCGGCTGACCTCCTCTGGAACACATCATCATCTCACACCAGGAGAACCGGAAGAACCTGCAGCAGAACCCTTTACTTGATCCAAGCCCTCCACTCTGTCAGCCTTTATACCTGCAGACGCCAACAGAAAGTCAGAACCATTTCTACAGACTCCACATTCTGTTCCCTCCACTTCTAGGTAGAAAAAAGCTTCCAGACATTAAACAACAACTGCAGCCTGCTAGCAAACAGAACAGTGCAGTCATTCACCTTCTGAACACCAGCTAGAAAAAGGCCTTATAGCTGCCAACCTCTGGCTGCTGTGGTAGAGACACAGCTATTAAACAAACAGTGACAGATTTTTTTTTATTCTCTTTTATTCTGTCTTATTAGAGACCAACACAAACTAGAACAGAAGTGGGACAGAATGGTTTCAATATATAAATGTCTGTCATGAAGATGTAATTAGTCCCCCTCATAGTGACACCCTTCGTAGAGAACTCAATACGGTTGGAGGACTGACAAGAACTCCTGTTTGTAGTTCCAAACTGGACTTCCATACCCCCTACTGAAGCACAGGGGTGGCAGCATCATTGAGGGGTTGACAAATACTTTCACTTCGATCTTAAACACCCAACCATTCTCCCTGCTTGTAACCTTTAGGGGAAGCTGCTGCCTATCCCCAGCAGTTTAAGGGGGGTGAGAGGGTGTAGATCCTGGACAGGTGGGCTGCCCATCATAGGTCAACACGAGCACGACCATACTCAGCTTCAGTCTGTGGGCAAAGCTGGAAACAAGTCTCAGGTTTAGGTCTAAATCTCTGTGGGCTTAAACTGTGTAACACTTCACAATGAGTTCACTCAATTCCAATTCTAGTTAAGCCACTAAAGGTTGCTGCAGATTGTTTGGAGGGGTGTGAATACTTCCCGCTTGTGAGCAAACATCTCCCAGGGAGTCAGTCTGCTAACGGACCTGACAGGCCGCTGTTGCTAGGGGAGTCCTGTCTGTATGTGAGCCTAGATCAGCCAGCTGTTCCTCCTAAAATTCTGGTGCCCCTCCCTCAATAGCGTTGACTTGAGAAAGACAGTCAGTTGGAGAAGGAAGAGGTTTTAACTACAGAACTGAGGTCCAGGTGTGGTCACGGGTTCCTTCCTCAGACTTCCTAAGGAATGTTGACTGAACAAATGAGACCCAGACTGTCCCAAATCTTGATCCTGTCCACGTACCCACTGTAGAAGCTGGTTCTTGGGATAGGTCCGATCCGTGCGTCGTCATGGTGATCAGAGTGTGCAGGGGTGCTCCTCCTTCCTGCCTTTGTGTGTTTGAATTCTATGTGGGCTCAGTGAAAGGTCCCCTCTGGACCAAGAGCCATTTTCTGTTTCCTGTTCAGAGGAGGCTTCTGTTTCCCTCCTTGGCCCAACTTCATCATACCTCCACTCGAAGCACTGCCGTCGGTCATTGTCTGACTAAAACACAGGGACTGTGAGCGGGAGCTGTGCTGAGTCATAGCATTCCCCGGGGATGGCGTTGCGTGAGGGCCATTCTGATGCAAGCCGTCCTGTGGATCATGCTGTCAGCTCTGGTTTGGTTTCTCTGGCTAAAACCCTGCTTCGATGTGTGTCGTTGCAGATCCAGACCTTCTGTGGGGCCAAATCCTGAAGATGCTAAATTCTAACATGCCAGAGGAGTTCTTTATGTGGATGTCGAACTTAAAGCAAGTTCTAGGCCCTCTGCTAGAGAAGGCCAAGGAGCTGTTGCAGGCTCTGCCATGAGCTCTTAGTTGGACCCGTGTTGTAGGCCAACAGAACCATCCCTGCTCTTTGGCTTTTTGATGCCCCTGCAGGGTTAAAAAGTGCTGACCTGTCTCCAATGGGCATTGCTTTACTGAAACCAGGAGGTGGCTGCTTGGTGTAAAATATTTTCCTTTGGTTGGAACTCTGTTGTATTGGGGACTTGCTAAGACTTATTGAGACTCAGTGGGAGTTATTAAGACTATCTTAGACGGTTTTTTGGGACTTGCTCAGACTTACTGGAGTTTTGGGGTCTAAATGGGACTAACTTGGTATTTTTGGGACTTGCTAAGCCTTACTGAGACACTGTAGGGCTAACTGGGATTATCTTAGGTAGGGTTTTTTTGGGACTTGCTAAGCCTTACTGAGATTTTCTGGGTCTTGCTGGGACTAACTAAGATGTTTTTTTTTACTTGATCGGACTTACTGAGACTTTGTGGGGGTTACTAGGACTAAGGCCTTTGTTGGGACTTGCTCAGACTTACTGGGATTTTCTGGGTCTTACTGGAACCGAATAAGATGTTTGTTTTTTTTGGGACTTGATTAGACTTACTGGAACATTTGGGGTCTTAGTGGGACTAAGTTGGTCTTTTTGGGACTTGCTGAAATTTACTGGGACTTTCTGGGACTTATTGGGATTCATTAGGACTTACTGATACTCATGGTCCTTTTCCACCGGCTCTACAGCACCATACCGTTTTTTTCTCTTTTTTTAGTACGCACTGTTGGATTTTTGGCCCTACTCTAATCCTGACCCTACCTATTGCTGAGGACAGCTGAGAAAACTTGCTGCTGGTACGGAATAATGTAAACGTATGAAGCTTGGAGGGGTGGATTAGAGTCACACCAACTTTAGTCGCTGTAAAAGCAGCAATACTGGGACTTACTGGGACGGGTCTGCTTTATTGACTCCATCACATTTTTCTATCTCTACTTTCAGGATATAAATCTTATAAAATTGTTTGAAGTCAGACTTTTTTATGGTTTTATTGTTGCCATGTTTTAACCTGTAAATAAAAATAATGAAATAAAAATCTTTTTTTGTCATATGTAGCTATGGACCTATCAGGTTCCAGTTCTAAATCTCCACTTCCTGATAAGTTGATTTAAGCCAATCCTGATGTTTTTAGGAACCAGATGATGTGTTACAGGGTGTTATAGGCTGGATGGGCTCCACCGGCCTCCCCGGGGTTGGTGTGTTGTGCAGCTAGCTGCACCGGGAACCTTTAGCTGGTTCCAGGTGGTCCTACTGCTGATCAATCCGAACGTAGGCACATGATGATGCTAACGCCGTCGCCTCTGCCTGCGCCGGGACTGTAACCCAACAATGCTGGGTAATTTAATGGATTCAGTTTGCTGATGATATATCTTATTCCTGAACTTCTTTGCTCCGCGATCCTCCACTCACCTGGATTTCACACATATTCCGGTTGGATCACATTCCAAAGGCTAACGCTCGAGGGTTTAGAGTGACAGATCGACACGGTGAAGCAGAAGGAAGGTTCGGATACGCCTTCCTTTAGCCTTCCGAGCTAACCATTCTGAGGGACCTCTGTCGTCGCTTCTCCTGCTAGAAGGTGGACCTCCCCCAAAGGTTTCCCTCCAGGATTCCCCCCTTCAGCTCAATCCTGTCCGATCCGCTTTGTATCCCTCCTCATGCTGCTGCCACCACCATGCTCAACCCTTAACCTGAACCAGAGCCTCCTCCCTGAGCCATCTGAGGGGTTCTCGGTCTCCACGATGAGGGTTTTCTTTGATGTTCTGGACTCTGGTGACTGAATAGGGGACAGCAGATTGGCGGGGGAGGATCTTACCGCCGACTGTTGCGGCTGGAATGGGTAGAGCCGGGAAAGACCCTTCGGCAAATCTCTGGATAGAGCAGAGGAGAGGAGTTTCTGTTCTGGCTAGGTTGCCATGGTAGCAGAGACAGACTTCCTATTTGCTGTGAGGAGGCACGCCCAGGGTTTTCACCTGGTTCTGCAGGAATCAGAACCTGAGCGGGTTTCTTTTTTTTAACAGTGTCCTGTCTGGCGATGTGGCAATAAGAATAATTGTCTTGATGCCAAAAAGAGCCCAACAGATTTTAGTTTCACAAGTGTAGCAGTATGGATATTGCCATATTGCTCCACTTGTTTCATGCATATAAATTGCTTTATTCTAATTATGCAGGGAGTTTTACAGTTTATATGGACACTGCAATGGAAGTAGAACAGAAGAGGAAAAAAAGAAGAAGAAAAAGAAAAAAAAGAGAAAAGATGAAAGAAAGAGATGATAGAAAGGAGACAATGACAAAACATTTTCAGTCTGCTTCATCACCTGTAACGAGATGTAAAAAGAACAGCAAAACCGAAAGACACGGTACGAGACATACAATAAAGCAACACCTTGAAACTATCGCTGAAGTAGTACCACCCAGTCTGACATGCACTCTATGTTACCTATGTCTATCAGAACCTGAGCGGGTTTCTGTGTGTGTGTGGGAAATCTGTAGAGCACATGCTTTGAGTTCCTCGGCAGTAAGTCACGCTGCAGGCAGGCATCCAGCTCATCTCTCATGTGGAGGCAACTCCCTTTTTAGCACAGAGCCTCGTCACAAGACCCGCGGGGCCTCAGGGCGGGCCGGCACACCAGCCAGGGCCCGTCCTCGCCCAGCTTTAATGTCTGTGCAGCCCGCCCTGCCAGCTTTTAGATCCAATGCCTTTAGAAAGGCCCCTGGTGGATAACAGCAGTCCCTGCACCATTAAACCGGTCCACAGATGGTCGGCTCTCAAACCAAACATTATTCTATCAATTCAGTTCCTCGATGAAACCGACACAGGTGAACAAAGAAGGTTTCATCTTAATCCAAAATGCATAAATCTAACTTCCATGCGATCATAACTGAACGGCCGTTTTGTTTTTGTCCCTTTTTGCAGCAGGTTCTGGTCAAATAGCCGGAATCATCAGCGCCGTAGGAGTTGCTTTGTTGGGAGCGGCGTCCAGCTACTTCGCCTACCAGAAGAAGAAGCTGTGCTTCAAGCTGCAGGGAGGCGCTGATCCGGAGAGCGGGAAGGGTCCCCAGGGCGGGCGCTCCGACAACCAGGGTGAGTGGCCTTGAATTCCCACACCCTGGGAGGCTGTGAACGCATCGTTAGACCGACCCATTGATCATTGGATTCATTTACAGCATCAGCCTTTGGTTCTATGGGCATTAGATGATAAACTAAACATTTATATTCCTGATAATCCAGGATTATGTCCAAACCTACTTTGATAATTATGTTTTAAGGAAACAAATCTACTCCAGGAAGACTGACGGTTCTGGTTTGGACTATTGGGCAGTCCGGATGTCGGTTACAGTGAAGGGAGCCAGCAGCTGGCTAATCGGACCCAGGATGCTGGATCAGAACCAGATCCTCAGAGCGTCGGATTATGACGCCCGGTAGAACAAGTCCATGGATTATTTTCATGTCTCCTCCTGCCTGTCTGAGTCATCGTTCCCTTTATCCTCGTCCCGCCCTGAAACTTCCCAGGAAGAACGTCATCCGACATGCTCAGCCAATCAGAACAAACATTTGGGAACATGTGACCCCATTGTGGTCCAGAGCTCGTTAACCAGATTTTTTACGAGTTTCACCTCCATCCATACAGAAGGGAGCCAGTCAGAGATTGTTTTCAAAGGTCCCTCTGAGCGGGACGTCCTGATGGAAGACATTAAATAGTCATAAATGTCCAATCCTGACCTTTGGTGGACCAAAGTCCTGCTGCAGACGGGTCGGTCCTGTATGCCGGGCAGTTTTTGGACCTCCTGGTTCTGGGTGAATGTCTGTCACAGCTCTTAATAGTTCCAGGGAAACAGAAACCCGTCCAAACCAAATGCTTTGAAAGCCTGACACCTGCTGGTGAAGCAATGGTACTGCCATGGATCTTCACATCAAGAGTTTTTATTTGTTTGTTTTCTTCTTTTTCCAGTTTTCAGCAACCTGCTCCAGAACAACTAGCAGAACCTGATTGGACTTCTCAGCCGAAAGCCTGAAGACGTCTTTCCTACGGAAAAGGACCACCAGGTCGTGGACCGCCTGCAGACCCGACCGTCTGCCTGCTAATCTTTCTCTCAGCTTCAAGATCCCAACTGAACTGTCTGCAATGATTTCAGGGTTTTTATTTTCATCTCTTCCAGTTTCTGTTTCTCTGTTTTATCCTTTCCATGCCTGTTAAGATGTTGTTTTCCTGTTCCTAAATAATCCAAAGACGAGGGCAGCAGAGGGGCCCTCCTGCCCGATACCCTCGGGGGCCTTTCAGAGGAAAGGAGCTTCTCTGACAGAGCAGCATATGAACTAAAGGAGACGTTTGTAAAAAATATTCTTTTGTTGTCGTTAAAAGCTCGAAGCACTATTAAATGATGGGGGTTTTATAAGGCGGATGTAATTCGCTGGGTGAAGATCCATCCGAAGGAGATTTCATGTAAACTGCTGATTGCCATGGAAACAAGGGCTAAATGAAAATGTGCACAATCTATGTACAGATTTTGTATCTATGAGAGAGTTTAAGATGTTCTATACCTGCAAAGAGAACACCTAGAGGCGGCCTTTTTTCACTGGCTAGTGTGTTAGCACCCACTTAACTAGCTGCTAGCATTTTAACTCCAAGTTAACTGACTTCTAACATGTTAGCTCCCAGCCAGGCGCTAGCATGATAGCTCCCAGTTATCTATGAGCTAACATGTTAGCTCTTTTTAAAGCTAGCTGCTAAGATGTTGGTTCCCAGCTAGCTAGGTGCAAACATTCTAGTTGCCTGTTAACTAGCTACAATGTTGTAGCTGCTAACATGTTAGCTCCTTTATAAGCTAGCTGCTAACATGTTAGTTCTAAGCTTGCAAGGTGCTTACATTGTTGCTATCTATTAGATAGCTCAAAACATTGTAGCTGCAATGTTAGCTCCCAGCTACCTAACTGCTAACATGTCAGCTCCCACATAGGCACTAACATGCTAGCTCCCAGTTATCTAGGGGCTAACATGTTAGCTCCTATTTTGAGCTAGCTGCTAACATGATAGTTCCCAGCGAACTAGGTGCCAACATTCTAGCTGCCTATTAGATAGCTAAAAACATTGTAGCTGCCATGTTAGCTCCCACTTAGCTAGCTGCTGACATGTTAGCTCCCAACTAGGTGGTAACATGATAGCTCCCAGTTATCTAGGGGCTAAGGTGTTAGCTCCTTTTTGATTAAGTTGCTAAAATAATAGCTCCCACCTAGCTAGGTGCTAACATTCTAGCTGCCTGTGGGATATAGCTAAAAACATTTTAGCTGCTAATATGTTAGCTCGCAGCTATGTAACACTTTATCTGTAATAAACAGATAAGCCTAAAATCATAGATTTTTTTGCTTTTTTAGCTAAATATTTGAATCACATCTAACGACATAAAACAAGCAGATTGTTCTTTAAAAGCATACCTTTGTTGTTTTTTTCACGGCTACATTTCTGTTCGCATGGTGCCGTCAGTGCCTTCAATATAAGTGCTTCAGCCGGTTTGTTTACAGTGGAACCCTCTGAGGTTCTGCTCCTCGGATGAATGTTTCCTGTTTCACTCGGTCGTCTCTGCTGTAAATAATCCACTCTGTTAGATCTATGTCTATGCTTTGTTTCTTTTCCAGCTCCAATGATCCTAGTTCGAAGTGTATGTTTTGAAGTTATTGTGTATTACATGAGTTTTGTCTGTCAGTTGATTTCTGGTGTTTACGTGTTTTTAGTAAAGTGTCGTTGTACACCTCGTGGCTGTTGTGTAACTCTGTCTCTATAAAAAAACAAACCCCAGCTCTGCTGGATCGGCTCTAAATCAGACGACCCCCCAGGAAGGTGTGAATTTCAGCCACTCTTGCTCAGCTGGGTCAAACTATAGACCTAAATTCAACAGATTTATACGATATTTGAAATGTAAACGTCCATCTCCGCAGCTCTTCTGGACATTTATCCTTCAAAATAATGGAAACTTACCGTCTGAGCTAAATTTAATTTCTCTGGCTTCACACCAACAGCTGTCATCAAGCAGAAAACATGTGGCCCAGTTTGTTGAAGGTCTGTAGAGTAAGCTCTATTTATAATCGTGCCATTCAGTCAAAGACTGATCTTCAGAGAAAGGTCAGAGCAACAAAACTAGCTTTCATATCAGAGGGATGCTAACACATTACAGCTAGCAAAGCTTCCCCAGCAGACATGGAGGGATCCTCTACTTCCCTATTCAAACTCTACAGGAAGCTCAACTTGATCGTAAACTTCATCAAAATCACTGGAAAGCATGAAACCACCTCGAATCAAGAGTTACACAAGTTAGCTTCTGAAGCTCTTAGTTATTAAACCCAAACACATAGGTGTGGAGATTTGCATGACTCACAAACAGAACAGCGAAGAAACATGGATTGTTGTTTAACTCAGAGAGGGAGGTGGGCCGATACGTCCTGTTGGGACATTCCTTCCTGTTAAATCCAGAATAGAATTTAAAATCCTCCTTCTCACATATAAAGCCTTAAATGGCTAAGCTCCATCTGATATCAGAGATCTGATTGTTCCTGATGTTCCTAACAGAGCATGTTCTGAGCATCCTGACTGCTTCATTCTATCTCTATAGTTCTGCTGCTATAGGCTTAAAATGCTGGAGGACATAGGGACCCCTTTTCCTCATTCTCCTTCATTCAATCTCTATAGTTTTGCTGCTATAGGCTTAGATCTCTTGAGTTTTTCCTTTCCACTGTCGCTAGAAGCATGCTTAGTGTGAGGGATTGCTGAAGAGTCAATGAGTCGATGCAATCAGCTGGTTTTCCTTAGATAGAAAACTTTGAATCAATCTGACTGGATGATCTGGTTGAACTGATCTATAAGGTGACCTGACATGATGTGAATTGGAGCTATAGAAATAAACTGAACAGAATTGAATTCAAAGGATTTTAGGAAATCGGTCCTATAAGCCAGGTGGGCTCCTATGCTAAAGTAGCGTCCTGCTTCCTTCCTCACTGCAGCTCTATTCAGACAGCTCTGTCCATGGAGACCACTGATGGTCTTCAGGTTTGGCTAAATCAGGTCTTTACTGTCAGTCTGACTGAGCGCTGGTTGCTTTTAAAGAATGATCAGCAGAGGTTTCGCTCTCTGTCACAAATCAAAAAGTTTCAGCGGAGTATGGCAACAGGAAATGGAAAGGTTACAGAGGTGCAAATACTTTTTGGCGAAGCAGCTTTAGACTGAGGCTGGTGCCTGGCCATGGCTACAGGTTATTTGCTGCTGACTGATGTGGAAAGTGAAAATCAACACTCCTGTGGGGTTATCAGCCGAGCAGAAGATTGCTCTGTTGCACAACCCTTCGTTGCTTAGCCCCTTTCCTGCTGGTTGAATGACCAGTTGGACAAAAACATCAGAGGGTAGAAGCTGCAGGCCCCCAGCCTCATGCTTTACTCCACACCTCCACGCGCGCCGAGCTGCCACTCTACTCAAGGCTTCCACATCTACGCTGGTGCTCCTTTCTGCTACACGAGTCCGAGTCTGCCGCTCCGGAGCCGTGCTATGCCCCCCGCCTCCGCTCTGGACTAGTAAACCTGTAGGACTTGGTGCTGCCTAAAGAGAGAAAATGTCAGGTAGGATCCTCAGTTTCTTTAAAAGTTTCACACCTTTTTTGATTCAGCGTGTTTGAGAAGAACAGATTAGAGATAAAATGAGTAACAGCATGCCGTAGAGAGTGCTTTGAAATGAGAGCTATTTCAGCTTCTATTCAGAAAAGGGGAGCCAGTGAAATCTAACACTGTCCTCACACGGAGGTTACGTGCCTCGCTGTCATGCTGCGGGCCGGGATTATGGAGCCAGCTGTTAGGATTTGAGGATAAGAAGCGTTCCGTAGGTGAACCCGATGGGAGCTTTAAGGCCTGGTCTGTCCTCTCTGCCTGCAGCTGGCGAGGCCTTCGTCACGCTCGCCGCCTCAGACTCCTACTGCCAGGGAGCCACGGTGGTGGCCACCAGCCTGCGGCGGCACGCAACCACTCGCCGCATCGTCGCCATGGTCACGCCAAACATCTCTGAGCAGTCCAGGTGAGAGCCGTTTCTGCGTCACGTGGAGCTGCGATCAACATTTTGCTCCAGTTTTACTGGCTTTCTGCTGAATACGAAGAAAAAACTACTGGGCGCCATTAAAAAAAAAAATAAGGAGCAATATTTATGGTTATTTAACACGTTTTAAGAGAACATAAGGGAGTTATTTTATTCCAAGTCATTTTTTAACTATGACTTTCATTCATTTATAAAAATCTTACTTGGTTAACTCCAAACTAAATATTTAGTTTGAAATGAAATATTTAATTTGTTAAATAAATATTTAGCTCCAAACTAAATATTCAGCTAGCTTGGCGCTAGCTGAATATTTAGCGAATATGCAAATTCCCTTGCCGACAGCAGAAGTGAACTATCAAAGTAAAAGCCTGGGAATTTCTATATTTAAGTGAATTTCCATATTCGCTAAATATTAAGCTAGCTTGGTGCTAGCTTAATATTTAGTTTGTTAAATAAATATTTATTTTGGAGCTAAATATTTATTCAACAAACTAAATATTTATTGAAGTAATTTAAAGTAAGATTTTTATAAATGAAGAAATGACAGTGAAAAAAAAACAAAAAAAAACAGGCTAAATAATCATAAATATTGCTCCTAATTTTTGACCCATAAAAAAAATAACCTGACTTTAACCGGAGAAAAAAAAAAAAGATTCAATGCACCTTTTTGTTGATTTGGTCCTTGGCTCCGATTGGTCGATTCTCCAGTCTCAGGTTTAATTGGGAGCTTCCCTTGATCTTAAACAGATGTGATCATTGCTGCAGCCTTAGAAAGTCGCCTAACCGACTCGGTGACCTCCTTCTGACCAGGAAAGGCCTGGAGGACGTCTTTGATGAGGTCATCACGGTGGAGGCGATGAACAGCGAGGACCCGCTCCATCTGGCCATGCTGGGACGTCCTGAGCTCGGCGTCACCTTCACCAAGATCCACTGCTGGAATCTGACTCAGTTCAGCAAATGTGTCTTCCTGGATGCCGACACGCTGGTTAGTTTACTACCGACTCAGTCCCACTGGTGGGAAACTGGTTTTTAGACAACCAGGGATCTGTTTCACAAAGCGAGTTTCATCAACCTGTATCTGTTGCCTTGGTAACATCCTCCGCCGCTAATAACGACCATTTATTGAGACGATACCAGCCGAGGTGCAGCTGCAAACAGACAGTATTTACTGTGCAAAAGAGACTGAATCTATATGAGGAGGAACCCATGAGATGATGAACAGGTTCCAATTATTAGAACTAAGTTTTTATTGTTCGTCTTCACCTGCTGCCAGAAGATTTTATCTAAATAGATCCATTTATCTACTACATTACAAGAAATAAACCCATAATGTTATTGTGATCACTACAGGATATGGCAAGCCGCTTTAATATGTGTTAATATCTATTAGTTTGACTGAATATGTATTCCTGAAAAAACATTTTCTTTGCCTAAATGACCATTAAAACAAAATGTCACTCAACATCTAGAATAAACATTCTGGATGTCTAGAAATTTATTTCAGATCTCCATCCTAATATCACTGGTCAGCATTTGTATTATTTTGACACTAAAGAATCATGAATACATTTCCAGTAAAGCTGATAAATGTGTAAACATTTCTAGATTTATAAAACTTAATTCCTACTAGCATAATTTTGTTTTTTATTTTTTTAAATTCAGTTTCTCCTTCAAAATGTATTTTAGAAAATCTATTATTACAGTCCAGTCTAGCAGTGTGATTTTGATGAGGAAGAATCTTGTTTTAGTGATCTACATATAGAACAATAAAGCGGAGAGTGCTTTAAATAAATGTAGAATCAGCCTGCCATAGGTGACTTATGCGTTAACTCGAGCAGCAATCTTCTCCTTCTTCCTCTCCTTTGCAGCTGTTTCTGTTTCTCTGCTTTTTAAACACATTCTCCATTTTATTTTTTATTTCTTCATTAGAATCTCCAGTTCCAGTGGGGTGAAATAGCCACTTCCTGTTGCCTGTTGTCATGGTGACTCATCCATTCAGGGCTCCACTGATAATGGCTTTTCATACTTGTTACGCACGTTCTTAACTCTAAGTGGACCTAGTTAAAATGGATTGAACTAATTGATAGCAGCCGAAGTTTAACTGGAGTTCTCGGCTTTAGGCTAGATCAATTTAGAGTTGAGGATTAGAGTCTGAGTTTGTTAAACCTACTTCTAGAAACGGACCACAGATCAGACCAAGAGTGTAAGTGTTGGTCAAATGGAAGTGGTTTTTGTCCCATGTCTGCAGGAGAACCAGACGTAGTAGTGAAGACCCCATGAGTCTCTGACAGCCCCTTAGATTGAGGAGGCGCACCGAGGAAAGTCTGGTTCTCTGATCCACGTGTGCTTTGTGGATCTAGAAAAGACTTATGACTGTTTGGTGTGGGAGGCCTTCGGACGATGGGGTACCTGATGATCTTTAGGACCATCACGTCCCTCTATACCTTAAACAAGTTCATCATCATGAAGTCTTTCTGCAGGTTAAACTCCATCGGTTTATTCTCTTGCCACCCAATCCCCTCTGGTAGGGACCTATCACTCTAGGTCCCAGCATGCCTTCCAACCCCAAGGTCACACCAAAGGCGATAAAACGATGACAACAGGCTACCGTCTTTCTCTTTTGCAGCTGTCAACGCTCCAGACAGGATCTAACATATACCCCTTTCCCAGTCGGGGAAAAACCAGTTTAAGCCAGAACAATGGGATTTTAGTGACGGTTGGAACGGTTAACTGACACTTGTCGACCCGGGTCAAACGACTCGAAAATTGCCTCGGCTCTGATCGGCATGCTGTGGGAACACCACTGAGCGCAACGTACGGACATCAACACACTGTGCCAGTCGCTCCTAACAAGCAGAAACAACTCTGTTTACTTTCGATAAACCTGGACTAAGCCCTGGCTTCCTTCCATGTTTCTCTCCATTGTTTACATCCCTGAGTTCTGTCACTCATGTGACATCATCAACACTAACCCAGCGTGATGATCTTACACTGCCAGCGAGGGGTTAGACCAGCTTTATTATTCAAATGCTGATTGTTAGCAGGTCGACCAATGTTTATTTTCATTCATTTCATCAATAGCTGGAGTCAACATTTTCAGTAACAAACTGATTAAATTCCTCATAAATACTCAAAATCTTTTTGGTTTGACTTGGTTACTAAATAAATCATTGCATTCAGTTTTCTATGGAGAACAGAGCAGGGGTCCTAAGAGACATTTTCTAAATCTATTAGACAGTTTTTCAAAACTCAGGGAAAGTAAATGTTGTTCAAGTTTACAAAGGAAAACCACCACTTTATAATATTTAGATATATTTATAAATTACGTATCGTTGTCGGGATGTGACAGTAGACCCATCAGAGTTGAGTTCCTCCTCAACCATCTGTATTAAAAGTCACATAAAAAAGCTTTATGGATTTTTCTGAACATGTCTTCTATGAGAACCAAGTGGAACCAATGCCAGTTCCTGATCCATACTTGACTCTGCGCGTCGAAGCAGACTCTGATGCTGACAGAGTCCCCGTTCTTCTCAGGTCCTGTCTAACGTAGACGAGTTGTTCCAGAGGGACGAGCTGTCCGCTGCTCCTGACCCTGGATGGCCCGACTGCTTCAACTCGGGCGTGTTTGTCTTCAGGCCATCCAGGAAGACCTACGAAAGCCTCCTGGATCATGCCCTGCACCATGGAAGCTTTGACGGTAAGTCCGAGTCCTCTAGCCACCCGTGCTTCTGCTCCTTCAGAAGAGATCGAATAAGAAACCACTTTAAGGCTGAAGGTAGTAGATAGCTCAGACCAGTCCAGGATGTTTCCTGTAACTCGTAGCATGTCGGTTCTAAAAGGTCAAGCTCTTTGGCTTTAATAGCATTGATTAAATCTGCGTTGTTACAGAAAAAAACACAGGATTTTATTGTTTCCTTTCTTCTCTCATGTTGTCAGGAGGAGATCAAGGCCTCTTAAACTCATTCTTCAGCAGCTGGAGCTCCGAAGACATCAGCAAACACCTGCCGTTCCTCTACAACCTGTGTGCTAGCTCCTTGTACAGCTACCTCCCCGCCTTCAGGCAGTGAGTCCGTCTGTCAGACCCACTTCTGCGCGGCCGCATGTACGTCATCTGAAAATGTTTGTTAAATGCCGGCTGCAGGTTCGGACACCAGGTCAAGATCGTCCACTTTGCAGGAGCCGTGAAGCCCTGGAGCTCCCAGAGAGAGGACGGTCACTCCCGTGTTCTGGAGCAGTTTGAGTCTTTGTGGTGGAAGGAGCACCACCATCACTCTGCCCCACCAGTGACACCTTCACCCACTCCAAGCAGGCACAGACCAAAGGTAAGGCGGGGTGAAAGCAGGCCTGCACACCGAGGACTGCTCAGAAACTCTCACAGTATTTTTCACTTTCTCTTCAAGCAGGTCCAAGAACAAGGGGTCCAGATGCCGTTCACAGTCAACCTGGACACCTCCAGTTCCCTGCTCGCACATTTTTCTACATCTGACGACAGTTTGCACTCACAGCCTGAAGAACTCACGGTAAGACAGAGTTCTGACCCCTGACTTAAGAACTCCCAAATCCCTGTGTGAGATAGATTAACCAAGGGGAGGGGTGCATCCAGATTAGATGGTGGTTTATCATTGAGCAGTCATTCAAAAATCGCATTAGCCGTCAGAGCTCCAGCACATTCAGCCAACCTTTCCTAACAGAGCAGATGAAACGCTCTGGTTCCATATCAGCTGACAGAGAAAAACCCAATCAGAGCAGTGGAAGCTCAACCTTCTGGAAGTGTCAGAGATACACCAATATAATGACCAGATTTTTGCAGCCATTTTACACATCGCACTAGCACGATTCCTCTCCTCCTATCGGCGGTTCACGATACTGCAGCTCTCAAGGCGGGAATTACGCAAACAAAAATGGACGTGATCAAAACATTCAGGAACTTATGTTTGTTTATCTTGCTGATATTTCGTCCTTTGCGGAATGCCATGTGAAGAAGGCATTCCTCTTTGTCTTGGCATCATCCCAGGTCGCACCATGCTTTTTTAATGCCATTTACTGTTAATAGGCTGAGAAGAAATTGGTGTTACTAAGCCAGACACGTCGGAAAACCCGTAAAATGAGTCAGCTGATGGTCAGGAGGTGTCATGCGCTCTTTGTTATCAGAGAACCCAGCCAGAACTGAACCGTGGCAAGTCCTACTGTTAAACTACTACTAGATGTAGTGCGGTTGTGTCTGGTACTGTCCAGTTCAGTTGCATTCCTTTTACACTTAACAGTTACCTTGGTTACAGTGCTCGGACCATTCTCTGCACGGTTTCAAAAGTGTAGTGGAAATGGGGTATAAGTGGAGCTGGTGAAGATTCTCAATCATCCAGGTCATAGTCATTCCAAAAAAGTTAAAAAAAAACAATCCACTGGACAATGACTGAAATGTTTACATTTTGGACAAAGACAAATACGAAGCAGCGATAGAGGTGATCCCTTCCTGCTATCATCGCAGCCCCAACCCCTTTACAGGGGAACAGAAGACCTCGCCTATTCAGCCAGGCCAATAATGCCCTTTATCGACCCCCCTTAAGAGACATAGACAGGTATGGGGCATTGCAGGCTAACAAAGAAGCCAAACGACCCCCATTCCAAAGGGGGGGACCCGTTCATCCGTTTCTATTTGCATGTTTTCTAAACCAAAACAAGGCTTTGATGGGCTGCTGGATAAAACCTGGAACTAAACGCTATTTCTAACATTTTGAATGATCATTTAGCACTCTGTCTTATTCAACCTTTTTGCTCAATGAAAATTAACCCAACATGCTGAAAAGAAGCGCGACTTTGGCTGTAGGCTGTAGGTGCAGAGAGAGATCATAGAACCGTTACGGTCAGAATCTTCCAGGCCTAGAACCAGAGACCCTCTGCCTGCACCTAGAAGTCCAGTCCATGGGAGTTATGAACGGAAGGGGTGGAAACATTGGTGTTATTTCCCTCCAGCTCCATGAGACAGGCGGTATTACGCTAAACCCTCCACTGATTAGGAAGGTCTGCACCCCTTATCTGTCGGTCCAGTCCTCCTGGACTGGACCTTATTAGCAGAGCAGCTCATATTGGAATACATCATGGTAATTATGATGGCTGCTTATTAGGGAGACCCAATGGCTGCTACTAGTTCCAGTAAATCAGACTCTGCTCGGCTGCACCACCTGGAGGCAAAAATACCAAACTTCTCTCACATTTCCACTCAACACTCTGGTTTAGAAGAGTGGAACCAGTCTGTGGACAAACCGATGTGTCCTTTGACTGCTGACCCACAGTAACATGACTGTAACATGACTGCCATGTCTAAAGTCTCCCCACAGAGACAGCTGCCCCCCACAGAAGGAGTCCAGTGTCCGGGAGGAGAAGTCCCCACACCTGGAGAAGGAATCAGCAGTCCCAAACGAGAAGACAGCAGTCCTGGAAGAGAGGACGACATTCCGGGAAGAGAAGACGCCATTCCCGGAAGAGAATATGACATTCCCGGAAGAGAAGACGGCATTTCCGGAAGAAAAGACAACACTCCCGGAAGAGAAGTCCCCAGTCCTGGAAAAGGAGTCAGTGGTCCCGGAGAAGAAGTTCCAAAAACCAGAGCCAGTAGCAAGCGCTGATTTGCCATCAGGAGCTGTTGGGGTGAAGGACAGCGGCGTCGCCACGTACCGTGATGATGAGCCGGTAGGAAAACTTGTTTCCTTTCCATCTTTCTCTATTGAACTCACCTGGAGATGGACAGGTCAGACCAGAGGGACAGAATCAGAACCAGAGGGACAGGTCAGATCAGAGGGACAGAACCCAAACAAGAGGGACAGGTCAGACCAGAGGGACAGAATCAGAACCAGGGGGACAGAATCAGAACCAGAGGGACAGGTCAGACCAGAGGGACAGAACCATAGGGACAGGTCAGACGAGGGACAGGTAAGACCAGAGGGAAAGAATCTGAACCAGAGGGACAGGTCAGACCAGAGGGACAGAACCATAGGGACAGGTCAGATGAGGGAAAGGTAAGACCAGAGGGACAGAATCAGAACCAGGGGACACGTCAGACCTAGAGGGACAGGTCAGACAAGAGGGACAGAATCAGAACCAGGGGACAGGTCAGATCAGAGGGACAGGTCAGACAAGAAAGACAGGTCAGAATCAAAGGGACAGAATCAAAACCAGAGGGACAAACCCAAAGGGAAAGGTCAGACCAGAGGGACAGAACCCGAACAAGAGGGACAGGTCAAACCAGAATGACAGAATCAGAACCTTGGGGACAGGTCAGACCAGAGGGACAGAATCAGACCAGAGAGACAGAATCAGGACCAGAGGGACAGAATCNAACCAGAATGACAGAATCAGAACCTTGGGGACAGGTCAGACCAGAGGGACAGAATCAGACCAGAGAGACAGAATCAGGACCAGAGGGACAGAATCAGAACCAGGAGGACAGGTCAGACAGAGGGACTGGTCAGACCAGAGGGTCAAACCAGAGGGACAGAATCAGAACCAGGGGGACAGGTCAGACTAGAGGGACAGAACCAGAACCAGAGGGACAGAATTAGAACCAGAATGACAGAATCAGAACCTTGGGGACAGGTCAGACCAGAGGGACAGAATCAGACAAGAGAGACAGAATCAGGACCAGAGGGACAGAATCTGAACCAGGAGGACAGGTCAGACCAGAGGGTCAAACCAGAGGGACAGAATCAGAACCAGGGGGACAGGTCAGACTAGAGGGAGAGAACCAGAACCAGAGGGACAGAATCAGAACCAGAGGGACAGAACCAGAGGAGCAGGTCACACC